TGTTGCGTGGACCAAAGGACTGTTTGTGTGGAAAATTGCACTGCTGCTCGGGGTAGGAATCTGAAAGACGCCCTGAGGAGCCCCGGTTGGGCTCATCCCTAAGCCGAGCACTTGATTCGGGGGGGAGCTCCCAAAAACATTTCCAGGTGCTGCCCTCCCAGCGTTGTTGCTATTGTTGATGCTGCTGCTGTTCCTGATATTGTTGATATTATTGTTGTTATAGTTGTTGTTGAACCCCAAGACATTAGGATTAGCAATATGCTGGGAAGGTGGTGGCGGAGGAGGAAGGTATACGTGGGGAGAGGGGTGTCCGGCAGCTTCCGCTGGAGAGTTCTGCATGGGGTTAGGAGCCCAAGGGCTACTATGTGGCGATTTGTATGAAGAGGCAGGGGGATTTTGATCGTGCGACGATTTAGCCTGTATTTCTCGTAGCTTTGCATTGACTTCCTTCATGGCCAGGGCGGGAATTTCTTCTGCTTTGCTCTCCGGAAAGGTGCGATCCAGCGCAAAGGCGACGGCGTAGTAGCGCCCTTCCCCCCCAGCCACATTGTCGTCCTTAAAGTCGCCGATAAACAGACTCCCGTCCGGAAAAATAAGTGTACCTTTCCCGTGACGTTTGTTTTCTACCCAGTCGCCCCGATAGATCACGCCGTCCAAGTAATAGAACGTCCCAAAGCCATTTCGACGGTTTTCCTTCCACAAGCCCTCGTACCGTGTACCCAATACCCAGGTCATCACTCCGTATCCATCCGCTTTCCCGTGTTTCCATTCGCCGACGTATTCGTCCCCTGTCTCACCGATCATGAACATGCCTCGACCGTGACGCTTATCCTCACGCCATTCGCCATCGTATACATTCCCATCTTCCCATCGACACACTCCCTGCCCATCCCGCTTATTATCGATGAGCTCTCCCATGTACATTGCATTTTTATTTGTCATGTTTGCCATGATATCAAAGCTGATGGTAATTGACTGGAGATTCCGCGGCGTCTATGGACGTCCAGGGTGGTGGTGAGGCGAAAACTCCTTTAGCTGCTTCCTACCCTCCACCCCGCAGGGGCTCTCGTTAGCGCCTTTTATTCCACCTGCCCACCGTCAAATGCAAAAACGATGGACATAGATATACTCTGTTTGTACGGTGGGAAAGGAAAGATGTGTGGAGTCGAGAGGATGACGAAAAGCATACGCGAAGGCGAAATGGACCGGCGAGAATGGACTACTGAAATTGTCGCTTCGCTCACTGATTAATGTAAAGAGCAAACCAGTAGAATTAAAAATAGCATATTTTTGTGATTTTGTGGTAGCCAGGACAATACATCAAAGCAGTCACGATGATAGATTGGTTGCCTGACAGATTAATAGTTGCAAGCAGCAGAGAGAAAAAGCTAACGGCTGAATTTCAAATGTCAGTTGAAATTCAAAACGCGTGAGGGAGGTTGACTGATTGCGCTGTTCTTTCAATTATTCTCTGGGTCGGCAACTTGTGTTCACATCGACTCAAGCTACACACCTAAGAATTTATACTTTGATGCTCCTTGGCTTCAATACTGCTCACATGTGTGGAGGCGATGGTCAAGCACGAATCTAATACACAAGCCCTAATTGCTATGAGAACAAATCCTGCTACGCAAGGGGTAGTTGTTCAACTTTTGCCCACCAAGACCGAAAGTCACTTGATTTTAAGTAAACCATAATTGCAAGACTGTCGGCTTCCTTTTCTTGTCTGAAGAATCTCTGGAAAATTTTAAAATATCCAATTTAAGTCTCACGATTTAAAAAATCTTACTTCTGAGTCTGATGGTGAGGTGGTGTGTTATGTACACAAGTGCACGCCTCAATGGTGTTTTCGGGCCGGCAAATCAGGAAAATGCTCGGGACTTGTCATGGCGGGGGTCTCACGAAACCACTGGCAAATGGAAGAGGATACCAAAATAGAGAAAGAAAAGAACAGTTAAAAAAGACTTGCAGCTAGCACCGCATCAGGACATCGCTTACACCATCTGATCCCCTACTTTCCTACCTCATGCTTCAAGGCAGCCGAGGCAGAAAGTCGCTGGGCAGGATCTAAGTGCAAGAGATTCTCGAGAAGGTCGTAGCATGCAGCTGAATAAGTGGATTGATGCCTGGAATTCGAAAAGAACAGGAGAGAAAGTCTTCGTGAATAGTAAGCACCCTCCCCAAAAAAATAAGATGTCGAAGGGGAGACATGATGACATTAACATGAATACATGGCCCAAAGAATGCGAAACATCGGCCGTGACGTGGTCAGCACGGCCCGCAGGGTCCCCGGGGATGTCGCTGCCTCGCGCATTTCACAACATGGCCAAAGGTGAATGAGACGTTCGTGAGGGAAAAAATACTGGACGCACGTACGTTTGGTAGAGATGAGCACGCAGGTTGTTGTGAGGGGTCTTTTGAAATTTCAACATCATGGAGGCCACGTTCGGCAAAGAAGACCAGCCAGGCCAGCGAGCCTCTGTGGGGGTACCCAGGATCTAAAGAGCGATGGCAGAGAGGAGGGATAGGGGGAAAGGGCAGGAAGGTTGGTTTAAAGGGAATGCGGCAGAAGGAGTCCACAGTTTCGTGGGATACGGGTTACGAGAGCGTGACTCTCAAGCGTAGAGGATAGCATATGGCTGCCCCATAGCAGGATCAGAGGGAGGATAGGATGATCATCGGTAACAAGCTTGGTGGGGAGGGCGTAGATTTTCCATCTCCCCCACTTCCCGCCCCGGCCCCGTGGCCCTCTCGCAATGCCAGAACGACCCGACCAAATCATTGACATTCCCTCGCGACGTCCCTCTACCCCTGCCTCCCATTCCTTCCTGTAGAGATCCCTTCCCCATCGCTCAAATCATGCTCGGATGTGCATCTCCCTCCCTTTTTCCTTCCCCGCAGCTATATTTTTCTAATTCGCTGTCCATCTTCGCGCATCCGTACCTTAAAAATCGCCTCCAGCTGCGCGATGTCCGTGTCCGCGCGGAAAAGCGGCTTCCCAGTCAAAACCTCGCCCATGATGCACCCGATGCTGCCAGGGGGAGAAAAGAACGACGGGTGAGGAAGAGGAAACCGACCAGGGATTGAAAGAGACATGAAAAGGGAGGAAGGGAAGGCGGACCTCACCTCCATATATCGACGGCGGTACTGTATGTCTTGACACCAAGAAGGAGTTCGGGGCAACGATAGCCGGGAGTGACCACTACAGGAGTGTAAGGACTGAAGAAGGGAAACAAGGAGAAATGAGGGAGGGAGGTGGAAGAGTGAGAGGTGTGTGAGACGGGAGGGGGGCAGGGGATACTCACCGCAACGGGCTGCCGTACGTGCGGGCAAGGCCGAGGTCGGCGATGGCCAGGTGACCTCTCTGTCTTGTGATGAGGATGTTGGACGTCTGTGGGAAAAGGGAATCAGGGACGGGGTGAGGAAAGGAGATGGGGGCGGGCGGGAGG